ACCCATTCTGTGACCCGTCTCCAAACTTCTGTGATGGTTAAGGTTGTGTGCCAAGTTGGCTGGGTCATAATCAGTGGTTTGACAGTTATGATGTCTTCATACCCAGGATGAGATCTGATATAATGTAATCACCTTGATGATGAGATCTGCAACTATTATCAATTGAAAGGAAGTTTCTTCTGAGATGGGGCCTGCTTCCAATATCTAAAAGTGTTCTGGAAAAGCTCTATTGCTTTTCTTTTTGAAACTTTTTAGTGTGAATGAGTGAAGGTTTACAGAGCACATAATCAGTTTTACATTCAACAAATCATACACTTCATTCCATCTCAATGATTGTAATCCCCTCGATATGACTAATCCCACTTCTTCCCTGTTCCCTGCTTCCATTCCTCCTTCCCAACCCTTCATGTCCTTGAGTAAATGGTGCCCTTTTGATGTTGAAGGGTTGACCATTCTCTGGTGTGCGTATCTCACGAGTGTTGTTGGCCTTTCTATAGACCTATCTACTGTTTGGCTGAAACTTGAGCACTGGGTCGCTTTTTTGCTGGATCTGGACCCTGCGTCTGGCTCATCATCTGACCTCTGGTCCTTTGAACTTGAGCCAGTGGTCTGTGTATTGCCCGCCAGTCCTGGGATTTGTTGACCTCAGCAGGCTGTGGGCTAGCAGCTTATCACATTGCCTGCCAATCTTGTACACAACAGCCTGCTGTCTGACCTGGTGACCTTGGGGTTGTCAGCTTCCATGGCTACATGAGTCCGGGGGAGCCTCCAGCCTGAAGTCTGACCATGGTGTCTAGGGACTTTGCCAGCCTCCAAGACCAGGTGAGCCATTTCACTGAGATCAATTCCTCTCTCTGCATATATATGTGTGTGTGTGTTGTTATTGTTAAGTGCCATCAAGTTGGTTCCAACTCAGCACCCATGTATAATGTTTCAGAGGAGCAGCTGGTGAGTTTGAACTGTTGACCTTGCAGTTCAAACCAACCTTGAGGTCAAGTGCTGATGCTACAGTACCATACCAGAACTCCACGTGTGTGTGTGTAGAGAGAGAGAATTCTTGTTGTTAAATGCTGTTGAATCAGTTCCAATCCACAGTGACCCTATATAGGGCTTCTAAGGAATGACTGCTGAGTTTGAACCGCCAGCCTTGTGGCTCAAACTGACCTTGCAGCAAAATGCTTATCCCACAGCGCCACACCAGGGCTCCAGAGAGAGAAAGATGTGTAGTCCTGGTGTGACACTGTAGAAAAAGCACTGGCCTGCTAACAATAAGGTCAGTGGTTCAAATGCAGTAGCCGTTCCTCAAAGACTATACAGGGTCACTATGGGTTGGAACTGACTCAGTGGCACTTCACAACGAGAGAGAGAGAGAGCTCAATGAAATGGCTTACCTGGCAAGTCTCTAAACCATGGTCAGACCTCAGACTGGTGGCTTCCCCTGACTCACGTAGCCATAGTACATAAGCACAGCTGGGTCTGCGTCTATAGGGATCCCAGTCCATGACAACTTCCTACATGTATACCCTCATTCTTGTCTGTATCCATCTCAGTGGGACCCTTCCCAGCATCCCAGTTCCTGATTAGAAACATGATACATGATGTAGATGAATACTGCCACGGAGGTCAGTACTGATACTTAGTTGCATAAACAGGAGGTAAGCCCAAGAACTTTATGCCTCACTTCAAGCTAGCCACCCATGCAGGTTACAGTCTTCTACCATTAAAAATTAGAGGTGGTTGGGGCTTAATCCCATCCAGCAAGGAGGTACTGGGGAGGGGACTGTTACCCATCCCAGGGACCCCACCCTGACACTCACACCAGACTTTGCATGATTGCAACTTCCTAGCCAAGGCTAGTGTCTGCAGCCTGAGTTTTATGAACTTAACAGTTGTGCTCTTCATTCACTCATCCGGTCCCCACACATCTATTGCATCCTATCACATTCTTATCTTATCCCTTTGTCTTGGTGTCATTCCACCTTGGTGATGGATATCTTCCTAGCCATGATTTGGTGTCTGTTTATGGTTTAATATATTTACAGATTACCTAGTTAATGGTCTCTCCTCCACCCTGACATAGACCCTGGTTCCACTCAATGCTTCTTCCTACAGAAAGCCATCTCCCACCTCCTTACTCTGTCTTTTTCAGCCCTGTGGATGATAATAAGAAAGGCAGCAGTCTTTAACATAAATGACTCTTGGGGTAATAGTGTCACTGGTTTGCATTCTAGATCAAACATTTGGGAGGTGGGCCCTTTCTTTATTAACTGAACAATCCCTATGCACCTTGTGTCCTGGTATGGTGAACTGCAAGGTCTGTGGTTCAGACTGACCAATCACTCCTTGGAAACCCGGGACCCACTCAATAGCACTTAACAAGAGCAACAATGATAACACAGATGTTTGGACACCACTTCTGGCTGTGTGGGAAGTGGTGGATGACGTCCCTTGAAATCTGTATCTTCCATCTCTAAAGAGCCCACATTCTGAAGTCATGTGACTCATCTAAACCCTGCCTCAGCAACTTCCAATATTTTAAGTTTGCTTTCTTTGGTTCTATTTAGATAAACAGGAGAGTTTAGACATCATCTTGGTCATATCCAGCTAGACATACCAAAGTCATTCACCAAGTTTTGGATATTGGGTCCCTGCCATGCTTCCTCTGCCTCTGCTTTTCCTAGCTCCTCCTTTTTGCATTCATGAGTCCATCTCTATGCAGAACTCATCCGTTATGTCATCTGGCACTGTGCTAGCCCAGAGGTACAAAGGCAACAAATCATGGGCTTTACCTTGAAGGTAAATACAGAAAAGGGACAGAGAGCACCTTGCAAAGAAATACATTCATTACAATGCAAGGGTGTTGGGATAGAGGACATTTGGGGGTACACTGGGGCACAAGAGAAGACATGGTGAGTTCTGTTTTACGGAATAAGCTGAAGGAGGGTATCTTCATGGAAAAGGTTGATGCTTGAAGTGAACCTTGCATTCTCCGGCAGCTTCCTGAGCAATCTGAGTAAGGTTAAATCCCCACAAGTAGGTAAGCAATGTCATCCCTATTGTGAAAAGTTCAGAAAAGATTTTCTTGCTTAAATGAAACATTCTATGATGGATATTGGCTGGGTGGGGATGGGGAGGAGGGGAAAAGGAAGTGAACAGGGAAAAGGAATGCCAATGCTGATAACTGACGGTCCATGGAGAAGGTGGCAACCATTGTAATAACACAAAGTGTATAATCTATTGTAAAACGTTACAAAAATAAATAACTCAAAGAAAGGAAAGGAAAGTCATCCCAAATCCTGGATTCTAGTCTTTGTTAATTACTTCTTTGCTTGCTCACAGCTCTCTGGTGTCTCTCCCTATCTCCTTTCTGTCCCCCATGAAAGGCTCAATCCTTCATATTAGGCTTTGTCTTAATCATATATAGAACCAGCCTGTTCTCAAGACTTTAGACCTTCTCTGAATTCTAGCCCAGCGACCAGAGGTCCTGCTGCTTTATCTTGTGCTTGCCAGCTCTTTCTCTGGGATCTGGACCTTGTTTTACATCCAAGCTGGCGTTCTGCCATCCACAGAAAGACCTGTAGAATGTCCACCCATATGTATTTGTTGTTATTGTGTGCTGTCAGTTCCAACTCGTAGCGACCCTGTATAGGGTCTCCTAGGAGCAGCTGGTGGGTTTGAACTGTAGACCTTGTGGTCAGCAGTCCAGTGCTGATCCTACAGCACCACACCAAGACTCCTACATTGTTGTTGTTGTTAAGTGCCTTGAGGTCACTTCCGACCCATAGCGACCCTGAACAGGGTTTCCAAGGCTGTAAATCTTTATGGGAGCAGAAAGCCTCATCTTTCTCCCGCGGAACAGCTGGTAGTTTCAAACTGCTGACCTTGCGGTTCACAGCCAGATTCGTAACCACTACGCTACCAGAGCTCCTTATGTTGTTGTTGTTGTTAAGTGCCGTCGAGTCGGTTCCGACCCATAGCGACCCTGTACAGGGTTTCCGAGGGTGTAAATCTTTATGGGAGTAGAAAGCCTCATCTTTCTCCCGCGGAGCGGCTGGTAGTTTCGAACTGCTGACCTTGCGGTTCGCAGCCCGATTCGTAACCACTACGCTACCAGAGCTCCTTATAGGCCTGTCTAAATTCCCCACAGCTGAGGTCCCCACTTAACTGAAAAGCCCAGCCCCAACTATGTCTAGATTGTGGCCAACTTGTGATGCCCTTTAGACAACAACTATGGATGGCACACAGCCCAGCGGCCCCTCTGGTTCATATTGCCTCCTCTCCCTGGTCTACTCTAAGAATCAGATCTCATTCTGCCTTTTCCATCTCTAGCTGATGTGTGTGTAGAAATAAAGCCCTGAAGTCACCTGAGAACCCTATAAGAGAATGGGCAATTCTATTTCAACTAACTCACTGCCGTTGAGTAGATTCCAACTCATGGCCACCTCATGTGTTACAGAGCAGAACTGTCCCAACAGGACTGTAATCTCTGTGGAAGCAAATCTTTTGATTTCCAGTCCTTTCTTCCCCGGTAGGTTCGAACTGCCAAACTATAGTTTAATAGTTGAGCACAGATCGTTTGCGCCACCCAAGGGCCTTTCTATTCTAACTTCACCCACTTCATTCAGTCAGTCAGATAATCGAAATATAGGAATAAACTTACGTCATTTCTCAACATAAATATTTTCAAAGAGGTCTCTTATTTGTATTGTAGACGTAAACAAAATACATACATTCAAGGCATAGGTATCTGCCTTTTGCGCTGATGAGTAAAACTCACAGCAGCTACAGATCTTTGATGTTACAGTGGAGTCATAAACAACTTCACTGGCCTGTTTTTGAATAAAGATTTGTCTGAAAATTTTACCTCTTGGGTTTCTAGTGCATTTGTTGTTAGTTGCGATATTTTATTGTAAAAGCCTCTTCACCTAGAATTCTGGTGGTTTTGCATGTTTAATCATGTCTTTCATTTGGCTTCAAGTAAGGTAAAGAGTTGGTAAAACTCAAAATTTACTGAATTCTGTATTAATGTCAAGCATAGAATTTTCCTCTTGAATCTCTCCCTTATTTGTGTTTATTACGGAAGTGTTTTGAAAGAAATGGCGTGTCAGCCACTCATTGGTTCTCATGGCTTTGCAGTGGAGGCAGGGTCTCTCCCTGATTTGGTAACTTCCCAGATTCTTTTGTCTCTGTGGTATTTTCCTCCTCTTGATAGTGGCTGGTGATGGCTGGTGTTCGCTGGCACTTTCTTTCCATGAGGAGGGTCTCGAGTTAGATTCTTCAGTGTCACACTCAGTAGAATCACTGTCAGGTGGGATCTGATCCCTCTGGTTGCGTTGAGAATGGCGCCTGGCTCGTCTTCGTTCTAGATAAGCGCTGACCAAAGCCACTTCTGACTCAGTTACAGGGGTCAGTTGGATATGGTTTGCTTTCTTAAGCCTTTTCAAAGAGTCCCAGATAGCATCTTTGCTGTGCTGCTTATAGGAAGCATCTTTGCTTGCTAAAAACCAAGAAACCAAATCAACAAGTTAGGCACACTGTTGGCTATTATAATTTCATATGACCTAAGGGATATGTGGGCTTACTCCTGCTGGCCAGTTACCTAGCTACCACTTTACTCCAGTTCTCTGCAGTGTTGGCTGCCGAACTGCATTTAGTACCACAGCCCAATGCCTACAGAACAAACAGGCCAGTTAAAGACCTGATATGTCACTTTAGACATTTTTTGGACCCCTGATATAAGATTGAGTCCCCAGATTTTTGTAGCATTTTGCTCTTTATTGTGTTTTTTTTGTTGTTGTTGTTGTTTTTCCTTTGCCCTGAGGTTTTAAGGATCCCAGTGTAAAATGAATGTGATTCAGGTGGCAGGAAATGACAAAGGGTCTTTCTCTGTGCTATAGTGTGCTGGATTATTCATTTCAGGAAGTGTATGAGACAGTTACTGAACTGTCATTATTACAAATTAAATAATACAAGTTTACAATGAAATCAATTTATTAAAAATAAAGGGAATATGCTTGAAACCCAGGACTTTGTAATGAGTTTACTGTATTTTCTGGTGAGTTATGCTCTTGAAGTTACTCCTGTCTGTTTTATCCAGTTGATGGAAATGCAACGGTGTGCTATTGTATATATCTTCTCAACTCCATACCCAGAAACATCATGTGGGTGACTTGAAATCCACCTTGCTGGGAACACTACACCATGAAAATCAACAAGTACTCAACATCAGTGCTTGATTTATGGGTGTGTTGACTATCTTGGTTTAAGAAAGTGAAAAACATGGTCTAATGCCGATGACTTTTCAATTTGTCATGCCTGTAGCCACTCCATGTCAGTAAAAATTTTAGCAAGCATATATATATATATATATATATATATATATATATAAGGAGCTCTGGTAGCGTAGTGGTTACGAATTGGGCTGCGAACCTTAAGGTCAGCGGTTCGAAACTACCAGCCGCTCCGCGGGAGAAAGATGAGGCTTTCTACTCCCGTAAAGATTTACACCCTCGGAAACCCTGTACAGGGTCGCTATGGGTCGGACCCGACTCGATGGCACTTAACAACAACAACAACAACATATATATATATATACTTACACATACCCCTGTTTGGAGAGCCACTTGCTAATCATAGGCCAGCACAATACTGCATGTAGATTATTTGTGGGGGAGGAGGAAAGGGGTGAACTTATTTCATTTTATTTATTAAAATATTAAAATAAGCACAGCAGAACATACGCCCATTCCATTCATCAATTTCGACATGTACAGTTCAATAACATTGGTTAGTTACATTCTTCACGTTGTTTCCGCATTGTCTCTACCCAGATTGCTTCACTCCCATTGGCTCACTACCCACTATACTTTAGAGTTACTGTTGACAATTTGATTGCACACAGATAATTCTTTAAAAGAGTATAATGCTCATGGCAAATACTCTTTACTAATTTGCCTAAACAGTTGATACTTATGATAGTGCCAGCTGCCATCGCTGAATGTTTCAATCAAGGACTCAATAGATGAATCCTGATCAAAAGCAGGGGTGGGTGGGTGGGATGGGGGCTGGAATGCGGAACACAGTTTCAAATTCTTACATAATCCAAATTTACTGGATCTTCAGATGCGGAAACTGTGGCTCTGAGAAAATCTTCAAACCATGAACTGAAATTATCTCCTAAAGTCATCTCTAAACTAAACAACTGTCTTGTTTATAGATTATTTTGAAAAAGCTGTTATCGTACGCAGCTCTTAGTCCTACAGTAACATTAGTAATAAAGGACTGGGAAAACTATGTGATGAGAGAATGCTGAGGAATGAAAGAGAACTTGAGCCGACCTTCCGCACTGCTGTGGTGTGGTGTTAGGTGCCTTGAAGTCGATGTCGACTCACAGCCAACCATTTCTGTTGTCTGCTTCCGCCACTCAGCACTTCTTTCTCTCATCACTACCCAATATCAAAGGTACTCACCTTTGCTTACTGAAGTACTCGTCCCACTGTCGTCATCTTTTTTGATTTTCTCAACCATCTGTGTGAGAAATGTAGAATCAGAATGGTGATCCTCAGTTGGCTGTTTTCCAGTAATACTTACTCGTTAAGAAACACAATTACTTTAGGCTTCTCAACATGTCTAATTTTAAACTTCCAGTGCCATGCAATAAGTATTTGTTGAGTTCCTATTTATAGTGGTCCTACTTCCTTCTAAACTAGGAAGACCGAAGTTGGATAGCAGAGTCTACTAAAATGCTTTGAACGAAGCAAAAATACAACAGGTTTGAGAGAAAACAATATTGATACAGCAGCCTAGGCCATGAAGTTTCCCTGGGTCCGCTTACATTATAGTACAATTTGGTTTAAAAATAGATCTGACAGCACTCCAGATTATTTAAAATGACTTTTTAAAGGACATTGGATCAGGTCAAATTATTGATAGTTCTGTAAGTAAGATGTCACATACAATCAAGATCTTTACCTGAAATCTCCTAATTCCTTCAGAAAGTTTCCTCCAAAACTGTAACCATAATGTATTGTCTGTGAATATGGTAACTAGAAGAAATAGATTTATTTTTTTCATTCTTTCATTTTAGAAATAGATTTCTTCAAATAGATAGAACTTCAAATATTCTGTTCCAAAACTCCAGACACATATTTGTCCCATTTCTCAGACTAGTGTCCTAATTTTTGATGCTGAAAAATGGTTACACCAAAAGATAGAAATATAAAAGAACTCTTTCTGACTGTATCAAAACTTTTAGGAATATTCATAACAGCTCTGACACATAATTTCTCTTTGAGGGAATCTATCACCAGGAAATAATGCATGAGAGAAATATTCTTCACAGTCTAATTACTGTTGTTTGTTGTTGTTGTTAGGTGCCATCCAGTTGGTACTGACTCATAAGTCTCCCTGTGCACAACAGAAACACTACCCTGTCTTGTGCCAACCTCACAATTGTTGCTAATGTTTGAGCCCATTGCTGCTGCCACTGCGCCAATCCATCTCGTTGGCGGTTGGTTGTCAACTTGGCTCCGATTCAGAGTGACTCTGTCCACAGTAAAAGGAAGCACTGTCCAGTCCTGTGCCACCTTCACAGCATCATTAAGATAGTACCACAGTCACAATTCAAATGGGTAAATTAGATTACAATCATACGGTTAGGGTTATAGAGGCTATCATAGAAGTATGTTGTGAAAAAATAGATGTAATGATGTGAAGTTAAAAATCAAGATCCAAATTTGTATATGCAGTATAATCACAATTTAGCTGAAAATTTGATAAGAAAAAAGGACTTTAAAGAATACACACAAGTATTAGCACTGAGTTGGCTTTCAGTTGTAAAGTGGTGATTTTTTTTTTTTTTTCCTTTTAATTTTTTCAATTGTCTACAACTAGGGGAAAAAAGTCCTGCTTGGGTATTCATGACTACAGCCTAGATTCCTGTCCTGTACCCTCTTTGGTATCTGATTTCTACAATAGTGGGCAACTATTTCTAAGAGATGCCTCTTGCTTTTTGGGTTACAGCAACCATCCCTCGTTTGGGATATTTCTTTTTTGAAAGTTCTTTTAGAGGAGCCTTAAATATTTTCAATGTAATATGTGTGAAGATGATTATTAAAAGATTACCCTTATAAACTTCAAACTTAACAGTAGTTGGTTGTTGGATGTTATTGCTAGTTGTAGTCCAGTCCATTGTGACTCAGAGCAAGATCTAGCAATCTGCTTCCAAAGCCCCTGTGAGGTAATGCTACTCTGCACGCATGGGGTTGCTATAAGTTGGAATCAATCCGACGGCAATTTACAACATCCAACTAATGTTAACTTTGAGGTTTATAAACTTAGACTGAATTTACTCCTACATCTTAAACTTTTAGGTTTATAAACATAATCTTTTAATAGTCATCTTCACACATTGTGTTGTTGTTGTTAGATGCCATAAAGTTGGTACCAACCCACAACGACCTTACGCATAGGAGAACGAAACACTGCCCCATCCTGGGCCAACCTCACTGCTGTTGCCACGCTTGAGCCCATCAATGCTGCCACCTGGCCAATCCATCTCATTGGGGTCTTCCTCTTTTTCTCTGACCCTCCCATCTTACCAAACACGATATCCTTCTCCAGTGACTGTTCCCTCCTGACAATATGTCCAAAGTATGAGAGACTAAGTTTGGTCATCTTGGCCTCCAAGGAGCACTCTGGCTGCACTTCTTCCAAAACGGATCTTAGTACATTGAAAACATTTAAGCCCCGCCCCTGCAAACAAATACCTTTTACAGCTTTTACAAAGCGATATCTTTAAAGAGGTCTCAAATCTTTCAGAGAATGGTGGCTGGGACCCAAAGAGCAAGAAAAAAGCTGATTCATTTGATGGAATCTGGAGTTATTTTTATTAGCTTTTTGAGCTTTCCTAGCATGCTTCCATCTAGGAAATATCTATGTTGCACAAACTTTTGTAATGTTTTAAAAACATGTACTGAGTTGATTTCATTTTCACACAATGATTCCACATTTAATTTGATCTCAGATAAATATATAATCCCAAAGTCAAAGGAACGGTTTTGCATCAAGCTAAATTTCGATTGTGTGGATCATGACAAGCTATGGACAACATTGTGAAGTATGAGTATTCCAGAACACTTAGTTGTACTCATGAGGAATCTGTACATGGATCAAGAAGCAGTTGTTCAAACAGAACATGGGAATACTGAATTTTTTTAATTAAGAAAGGTGTGCAACAAGGTTGTATTCTTTCACCATACTTATTCAATCTGTATGCTGAGCAAATAATTAGAGAAGCTGGGTTATATGAAGAAAAACATGGCATCAGGATTGGAGGGAGACTCATTAACAACCTGTGATATGCAGATGATACAACCTTGCTTGCTGAAAGTGAAGAGGACTTAAAACATTTACTGATGAAGATCAAAGAGCACAGCCTTCGATATGGATTACATCTCAATGTCAAGAAAACAAAAACCCTCACCACTGGACCAATGAACAACATTCTTATCAACAGAGAAAAGATTGAAGTTGTCAAGGACTTCATTCTTCTTGGATCAACCATCAACACTCACGGAAGCAGCCGTCAAGAGATCAGATGACGTGTTGCATTAGGCAAATCTGTTGCACAGGAACTTTTTAAAGTGTCGAAGAGCAAAGAAGTCAGCTTGAGGACTAAGGTGTGCCTGACCCAAGCCATGGTATTTTCAATAACCTCATATGCATGGGAAAGCTGGACAGTGAATAAAGAAGACCATAGAAGAATCGATACCTTTGAATTATGGTGTTGGAAGAGAATACTGAAAGTGCCATGGGCTGCCAAAAGAACCAATAGATCTGTTTTGGAAGAAGTGCAGCCAGAGTGCTTCTTGGAGGCCATGATGGCCAAACTTCATCTTTCATACCTTGGACATATTGTCAGGAGGGAACAGTCGCTGGAGAAGGATATCATGTTTGGTAAGATGGGAGGGTCAGAGAAAAGGAGGAAGACCCCCAATGAGATGGATTGGCCAAGTGGCAGCATCCATGGACTCAAGTGTGGCAACAGTAGTGAGGTTGGCCCAGGATCGGACATTGTTTTGTTCTGCTGTGCATAAGGTTGCTATGAGTCAGTACCGACTCGATGGCACCTAACAACAACCACAACAAGTGAAATTATACGAAGTGTGGTGACCATATCATTTTCTTAGCTATCTTTGTGTGTGACTTAGTGAGTGGAGACAACAGCCGTGCCTGCCCTCTAGGGCAGGCAGAACAGTGGGCTGCTTGGGATGGGAAGGACTGAATAAAAGTTGCCTTTCTGTCTCTACCCAACTCTGTGATGTTACTAAGCTCATTTTCTCCAAATGCAAAATGAGGCATTTCAACTAGTATTGTGTGGAAAACTACCAGCGCTAGCAGCCTAAATAAACTCTAAATAAACACATAAACTAAACACTGTATTTATAGTCTATGAAAGCAAAAGGGCAAACGCATCTTAAATAGTAGCCAACCCAAAGGAAATTGGTGTGCTTCATGTTTAATGATAATTACCACCACATTTCCATCACGCTGCTGCCATTACTTCAAGGTTTGTAAATAAAGGCTCATAGTTTAGCAGAGAAAATGAAGTTCAAAGTGAAGGAAAAATTCCATCCTCCTTGACTAGCTCTCATATTGGTCTCAGATTTCAAATCTGTGGCCCTTGAGAACAAACAGCCCAGCTGATTGTAGGCGCTGTAAGGATTCAAAGCGAAAGACGAACCAGCAAGATAATTAAGGTTTGAATCCACACTGAATAGATGTCATTCAACATTTCCAACTACGCTTCGAAGCAAACAAACAATATGGAAGGCACCCTGAGTCTATTCCCCCATTCTGTCACAATTCAATTGGATAAGTCACTTAATTTCTTGGAGTCTTACAATAAAAAAAAAGGGGGTAACAACATCTTGTTGTTCTTAGGTGACATTGAATCAGTTTCAACTCATAGTGACCCCCATGTACAACAGTGCCCAGTCCTGCACTGACCTCACAAGTCTTGCTACGTTGAGCCAGCCCATTGTTGCAGCCACTGTGTCAAACCATCTTGTTGAGGAGCTTCCTGTTTTTCGCTGACCCTTTACCTAATGATATCTTAATTGTCTACAAACGGGACTGGACCACATGTTCTCTGAAGTCCTTGCAGCTCAGGGCTCTGTTTCACCAAAGAGCTGATGCAAGCAAGAAAGAGAAATAATAGTTCAAACCTCTTAAGTGGGCTTCATGAGGAAATTGCCAGTGATCAATTTCAATTTTTGGTTAATTTTCTAAAGTAGCTTTTCTTGCCAGGGCAAACAAATTCAATATACTTAGCTAGGGAGTGTAAGATGCATATAAGCTATCGCAACTCTAAATCTCCCTTTGGCACGATATTTACCTTAAGAAGCATTTAGGTTTTAGTTGAAACTCCTTCTTGGGAAAGAGGGGAAAAAATCTTTATTAAAATGGAATCCAGCTGGCACTGACATTGCGTATCTTCCCCTCTGCATCTCAAGTTGACAGAGCACTCCGTCTAGCAGACTATTGCCAAGCCAGCATTCGGGCTGTAATGCTAAGCGATGGTTCTTTGATTCATCATCAGCCTGGGATTAATGGCCAGCCAGAATTCCATGTCATCAACTTATAAGAGCTCAGTTATCCATAATAATGTTGGAGCATCACAGTCCCACCTGGTAAATGGGGCTATCTCATTCGTAAGAGGAGGGCATTGTTCTGTGCTAGTAGGTGGTCTAGACAGTGGCATTAGTTGTTAAGTTTCATTCTTCATTTTTCAAAGACGCTCTCGATCCTACAACATATCACCTATAAAGATAATGGAAACTTTTGTACGATAGCTACAAAAGGACTTCAGAGGTCCGTGACTAGTAGGGAAGTTGATCCCAGCTTTATATAATCTATGGACAAGCTACAAACTCCGTCTCCAAATTGCAGAGGTTTTTAAACTTATGATGCAACCACAGGACAAAATTATGCTGTGTGAATGAGGAAGAAAGCAGGATATTAAATATATACTAATTGTGTCCTATCAAACTCACCAACCATTCCTTGGAAACCCTATACAGGGTTGCTACGAGTCGGAACCGACTCGACGGCACTTCACAACAGCAATGTTATATCAAAGCTAGAATGAGATGGATAAATTGGCATAGAGGAAAACCAAATCAAGCAAAAACTAGAATATAGTCCAAAATACTAACAGCAGTTATCTCTGGGTAATAGAATTACAGCCATTGAAATTGTCTTCCTAAAACTTTTTCTACATTTCTGGATTCTCCACAATGAGACTGCATTATTTCTAAAACTAGAAAATGGGCTTTCAAAAAGAATAGTTTCTTTAAAGTCAAATGATTTTCTTGTATGGAAAATCTTTATGGAGCAGAAAGTCAATTCTGACTCATAGCGATCTTACAGAGAGAGTAGAACTGACCACAAGGTTTCCAAGGCTGGTGGGTTCCAACTGCTGACCTTCCAGTTAGATGCAGAGTGCTTAATATTACCAAGCCACCAGGTCTGTTTACTTACCAACTCAACACACTGCTATTGAGTCAATTCACACACATAACAACCCTATAGGGCGGAGTAGATACTCCTCCTTAGGGTTTCCAAGACTGTAAATCTTTACCAGAGTAGATAGCCTCATCTGTCTCCTGCGGAGTGGTTAGTAGATTTGAACCTCAGACCCTGTGACTAGCAGGAGGAAGCTCAACCCACAGCACCATCAGGACTCCTTTCCTTGGATACAGTAAACATATTATCTTAAATGAAAAAAGATATCCTACCCAGACAGAAGTCCTAGAGAAAACCATCAGGATCAAGATAGTGACAAAATACCAAAGCAGAAAGCTCCCGATTGTCCCACAAGAGTCATCTTTCCGGCATTCATAATCCTCATTTGGAATGGGAAGAATTAAAGGTTTGGAAGGAGGATCTGCCTCCCAAAATAAGGAAAAAAGGTCTCCCATGATGGTGTCTTGCTTAGAAACTAAGAAAACATGTTCAAAGGAATGAGTATGTCTGGGAAGTATTTTACTCCATGATGTATGACAACTTCCTTGACAACCTATTATGACATAAACTTAGCAACTGTGGCAGAAACTGACCAATGCTGCTTGGATTTCTAAACGTCTTTGGAAGCATTTATCTAAGTTACTTCTGTGAAAGTTTATGATATTTTCCTCTGTACCTCAGTATTAAGGAGACCTGGGAGCGTAGTGGATTGCAAGCTGGCCTGCTAACTGCAAGGTCAGTTCAAATCTACCAGTAGCAACTGGGAGTAAGATGAGACTTTGTGCTTCTATAAAAGATTTATGGCCTCGGAAACCATATACAAGGTTGCTATGAGTTGGAACTGCCTCGGTGGCACACAACCACCACCTCAATATAGGTGCATTCTGTCTTCATCTTTTCCTTTTGTGTTATTTCTTCCTGAAGTTTGTGTATACTGTACTTTTGTGTTTTAAAAATCTATGTCTCACAGACTAAATGCTTTAGAGAAAGGAAGATCGCTTAAGGGAAATAAGACCCAATATATCCAGATTACACTCCCAGCTAAGGTTATTCATGGTATAAATAGATTTGTGTTATCTTTCAGTAATCCAGAACTTGATTGGAACTTAATCCAACAGCATTTTAGGAAGTTGTGGAATAATATCCACTTGTCTGTGGATATTCATCAGCTACATGCTCAAATTTATGATATAAGTAATTCTCAAAGTGAGCACTGAGTGGCTACTAATTTGCTACCCCTGCTAGAGAGTAAGATCCCCTAAGAACTTGATTGAACCTCAGCATAGTGATCCTGCTTGGTCACCTTAGAGCAGGTGGTAGGCTGGCAACGTCTTGCGTATGGGGTCCCCAGCCGATCTCCTCTCTCCCTGCCTTCCTCGGATGGTGGCTGTTTATGCTGAACGTGTGGCCAGAGACGGGTAAGGATCACGTGGAACCTCGGTAACCTAAGACAGAGCCATTGCCATGCTGCAATGAGTTTCGAGATGAAGGGTAAGACTGAGGAATTCGCACTGACCACCTAAGACAGGCAGCGTCCCTTTAAAAACAATAAGGGGGAATCTGATGCAGACCGTGCAGACCCAGTCAGGAGGTCAAGACCCTGTGGGCCCAAGCGTTGTTGACCATCCAAACCATAGGCTCTAAGGATCAGACTTTAGCCACCTAGTAGACATAGCAAACTGTCCCTCATCTGATTATTCAGTAATGCTTGTTAGTAATCTCATACATGAGCCCTGGATATCCACAGACAAAATGTAAAAACCTTCCCTAAAAGCCGAGACTGTAAATTCCAAAAAGGCAAGTTCCCCCACACCCAAAAAAAAAAAAAAAAGCAAAAGAGGATAGAGAGAAACACTGTTAACTGATTATATATGGAGGGGATAATAATCAATGTAATGAAACAAGCTATATGAATGGTTGAATGTGAAGCTGATGATGTGCCCTGTAAACTTTCACTCAATCCAAAATAAAAACATTTAATAAATAATAATAATAAAAAATCTATGTCTCTGAGCTATCATTCAGTTTTTCTAGTCATTTTCAGGTGCATAATACCATTGTAAATTAACATGGTGGTGGTGGTGGTGATATGCCATGGAGTTGGTTCCGAGTCATACCGACCCTGTATAGGGTTTCCGAGGTTATAAATCTTTACAGGAGCAGAAAGCCTCATCTTTCTCCTGTGGCACCGCTGGTAGTTTCGAACTGCTGACCATAAAATTAGCAGCCGACTCGTAACCACTATGCGGCCAGAGTTCGTTGTAAATTAACATACACAGTTCTAATGCCAACTCTATATCAAATTTGGATGCTAATGCTTAAGGCTTGAAAAAATGCACAAAAACTTAGATTGCATTAAATAGGAAAATAGAGATGTGTCCATTATAAATGACCTCAAATATATACAATGTCTTAGGAAAGAGTCAAACATGGCCTGGGAGGTGTGAGTGGGATAAGTAATCTAATTTAACTGTATGTACAAACCTTTCCCTAAACAGTTTTCAAGTTGATTCATCTCTAAATAAAACTGCTGTTGGTGGTGGTGGTTGTGTGCCACTGAGTCATTCTGACTCATAGCGACCCTGTGTAAGGTTTCTGAGACTATAAATAAATCTTTATGCAGCAGAAAGCCTCATCTTTCTCCCAAGGAGGGGGCTTGTAGAATTGAACTGCTAACTTTGCAGTTAGCAACCCAACTCATAATCACTACACTATGAGAGCTCCTTCCATTGCTGTTAAAGCGATCTAAAAATAATAAAAATCCCATCTTGAAAAAAAAGATGTTAGATTTTTAAAAGGATAGTATACCTGAAGATTTTCATTAATATGCAACATCAAGAGAAAGTTCATTTTCCTGTATTTGACCTTAGGAGCATTTTAGGAATAATTCTGGTGGTTGGGATGTCCATGTAACAATCCACTAATTTGTATCAGGGCATGATGTTTTCATAGGGACACCCTTCTCCAAGTCCCAACTGCAAGAGCCCAGGTCCTGCCTTCCTTGGCTGCTGGACTGTTGAACTGGTCTCCTCAGTCCTGCGTGGTCTCCTCCAGGAACCCCAATCGGGAAGCCCACTCCACTGTCCTCCTTGTATTCCTGGGACCGTGCTTCTCCAGGCAGATTTTATATTCCTGCACCTAGTCAGGAGTTCTGGTGTGACGCTGTTGGATAAGCGTTCAATGGTTCAAACCCACCAGCCACTCCTCAGAAACCCTATACAAAGTCACTTTAAGTCAGAACTGACTCGATGGCACTTAACAACAGTCAGGCACATTGTAGGTGTTTGTTATGTGTTAAATCAAACCAAACTGAACTCTGGTGACCATTTTCCCCAGGATTACAAGTTTTGCCAAAGAATATGCAGGAAAAAAATTTTTTTGTTTTTGTTTTTAAACCACAAAACCCCTAACAACTTAAAGACACATTTATGTGGAGATTTGGAATCTTCTTGTTACAGCTTGTACCCTTGTTACAAGTATTTAGGAATTTACATTGGGTCAGAACACTTGATTTCTTAACATAGGTAACAAATGAAATGCTTTGTTGTTGTTGAGGTCTGGCCACATTATCACCAACTCTGTGCCCAACAATCAACCACCCTGCTTAATAAAGTCTGGGGAAAATATATCCAAGGATACCCTAAGGAAGCTAAAATATTGTATACACGAAGGTGGTGGTGGTTGTGAGCCGTGGAGTTGCTTCTGCATGAATTCTGCACGAATAATTCCATTATCTCTTAATTACATTTTTTCACGAATTTATTAAACCTCCTCATATATATGGAGTCCTGATGTGGCGCTGTGGGTTAATGCACCAAACTGCAAAGCCGTTTTAACTGCAAGGTTGGTGGTTCAAGCTCAGCAGCGTCTCCTAGGAGACCCTATACAGGATCACTATGGGTCGGAACCGACTCGACGGCACTTCACAACAACAACAACATATATATGGTGTGGCGCTGCAGGATAAGCACTGGACCTCAAGGTCGGTTTGAACCGCTAGGCCGGCAGTTCAAACTCACCAGTCGCTCCTAGAAAACCCTATATAGGGTCCCTATGAATTGGAACCGACTCGACGGCACTTAATAAACAAATATATATAACATTATAAAGTCCTGGTGTGGAGCTACAGGACAAGCACTGGATCGCAAGTCGGTTTGAACCGCAAGGTCAGCTGTTCAAACTCACCAGCCACTTCTTGGAAATCCTATACAAAGTCGCTAGGAGTCGGAAGCGACTACACGGTACTTAACAACAGCAACATATGTAGTTCAGCCTTTTGGAGTTACAATTTTTTACTGCTGGTTCAGGACTAAATTTTAACAATCAGTTTTCTCCTCCAAGAAGCTGAACACGAGCCACAAAACCCAGAACAGTTTCCTTGGTAACGTTCCTAGCCTCCGTCCCGCCTCCATCGCCCTCTTCTCGCGAGAAGAGGAGACCCGGTCCTTCCGGTAACTGTTGGCCGACACGCTGGTCGCCTCCGCCTTCGAATTCGTCTTTGCGCATGTGCGATAGGGAGTGTCGCTAGCCCGGCTTCCCGCCGAAGACTATGGTGCGTTTTCGGGGTTAGCTTGGTGGTTCTTGGACGTGGAGTCCATGCAGGCTGTGGAAGTTCCACACCTGCTGATCAACTGAGGGATTCAGTTAAGGGAGAATGTGGCCAGGCGTCCCGCCACCCAGAGTCAAAGGGAGGAAAGAAGCAATGAGGGTTACTAAGTTTGTAATGAGAGCCCGGGGAGGGAAACTCGCGGAATGGGAATTTTTGACGTGGGGCTGGTGGCGGGAAGGGGACGACTCTGTCTGTACCCAGTGGATACGACTCAGTATTGTTGGAACAAGTTTTACATTTCTCTGCAAGAGTTGAGGCCTGATCAAACAGGTCTGCCCCTGGGTGGACCAAACTGCACTTTTCCCCCTCCTCTCTCCCCTTCTCACAACTTCACATGGGCACCCTGAGGTTTGTGACAACAGCAAGGCCCCTGGCCCACACCACCCAGGGGCAGACCTGTTCGAGAGGCTTCGGGGAAGCCATATGAGAGCCCATGGCCCATCCCAGGGGGCTTCCAAAAATTCGAGGAAATTTTCCATTCTCTTTTCATTTCATTTTCCCACGACCTTTTTTGAAAACCCCCCTCATAAGAAAGAGTCTCTCCTCACACTTGGTGTTTTGAGTGTCTTAAATGAGCCTTTGGGTTAATCCTTGTGACATAGTCCAAAAATAAAATAAGGTATAATGGTAGACATGAATCCCAAAATTACAAGTTACTTTATTTCTTGAAAGTATTATTTTCTGAAGGACTCCTCCAGTTCTCTGTTGATTATGGTGCTGACGAAGGTATCATTTCGGGTTCCTTTATCATATATGACATTTTACAGATGAGGAATAGGTGTGTACTGTTCTTAGTTACCTTTATAAAGGGCACAAGCGTTTGATTGTTTAAATGGGAAAGTAGTT